CCCTTGGCGCTGCAGGACCACCCCGGCACCCCCCCAGCTGCTCTGTCCCAGGCATCCCCAAGAGCAACGGGGGTGCTGCCGGGTTGGTCTCGCAGCACCGAGGGGCGGTGCTACCAGACCAACCAAGCAGCACCCCAACTGCTCTGCTGCAGGCGTCCCCGATTCAGCCGCTGCTGAAACTGATCCATCCCCACCCCATTCCAGACCCCTCATAGCCCCCCCTTCTGATAGTCCGGCACCCCCTGGGTCCTAAAGGTGCCGGATTATCGGACGTTTACTGTACTAGGGAGTCACTAGATAATAACCATTCAAGGGGGGACACAGCCCAATGGAGTAGATTTTAAAGACCGAGAAAGTATAGGAGGAGGAAGTCTTTAGTTTATTAGACAGCTTTTGGTATTGTATATTAACTGAATAAAACTTGGATTTTTTTAAAGTTTTGCATATTATACATTTATGCTAACTTCCAAACACTCTTGCTAAGTAACTTCCTCCAGTGTTTATGGGAGTCTGATATAGTTTCCCAGCTTTACAGAATGTCTTGTGCCAGATGGCATTCGTTTTTCGGAAACAGAGACTGTGTTGTGTGTTTGTGTGTTGTCCCTCCTTTTGTCTGAAAGGTAGATGTCATGTTCCCCGAGGAAGTCTGTTTGAACTTTTCTTGTTAAACCAGGGGAGTTTTTTTTGAGGGGGCAAGCAGAAGTGAGAGGATTTTAAAATATGGCTACAATTTGTCCTGTACTACATACTTCTTGAGAATGAGACAAAGGATTAAATCAGAGCGTGTCTACACTGCAAGCCACTATTTCGAAATAGTGGCGAGCCGGGGGACTTCTTACTCTAATTCCTGTAACTCTCATTTTATGAGGAGTAAGGGAAGTTGAAGGAAGAGTGTACTTCCTTCGACTTCCTGCTGTGCAGACAGCATCAAAAGCTGAACTAAGATATTTTGACTTAATCTACATAATTGACGTAGCTCAAGTTGCGGAGTTTAATTCAACTTTTGCCCTGCCTTGTAGATGTGCCCTTAACAGTTATACTGAAGGTAGATTTTTGCCTAATTCTGCATTTAGTTATACCGAAGGTAGATTTTTGCCTAATTCTGCATTTCTTACAAAGGCAGAATTCCCACAGAGGGAAAAATTCTTCATATGGAAAGAAGTTAGTTAAGGGTAATATTAATGACAGTGATGCAGTCTTTGAGCGGCACAACCGTTATGTGAAAAATCACATCTTTGGATTCTGAACTGATAAATGTAGAGGACAAGACCTCACAGATTTTAAGTAAATTTTCTAAAATTTTAAGTAAATGTAGTATTTGTGAAAAATGTTGGACTGACAACACAATAGAATGAAGTCAGTTCACTCATATAGTATGGCATTTGGTGTTTGCAAATAGTTCTTCCCACACTACCATTCCAGTAAGTCTGAAGCACCTCTGAGGTGACAGAATATATTAGTTCAATCCCATGCACATTTAGGGTAGGATTGTAAAAGGATATAAGGAAGTTAGATACAAAATTTGTGTCTCTAACTCCCTTAGGTTCCTTTGAAAATCTCAAATTCAATTCTTAACTTTTTAAAGACTTCCAGGAGAGATGCGAGAGTACATTGTGGTGATTCTATCTGATCTGTGTTGTAGTAAGAACATAAGAATGGCCATACTAGGTCAGACCAAAGGTCCTTCCACCCCTGTCTGCCAACAGTGGCCAGCTCCAGGTGCCCCAGAGGGTGTGGACCAAAGACAATGTTCATTTGCGATTTGTCTCCTGCCATGCCTCTCCAGCCTCTGACAAACAGAGGCCAGGGATACCATTTTATCCCCTGGCTAATAGCCTTTTATGAACCTAACCTCCATGAAATTATCTAGCTTCTCTTTAAACTCTGTTATAGTCCTAGCCTTCACAGCCTCCTCTGGCAAGGAGTTCCACGGGTTGACTGTGCACTGTGTGAAGAAGAACTTTCTTTTATTAGTTTTAAACCTGCTACCCATTAATTTCATTTGGTGTCCTCTAGTTCTTATATTATGGGAACAAGTAAATAACTTTTCTTTATTCACCCTCTCCACACCACTCATGATTTTATATACCTCTATCATAGCATCTGTATAATGTTCAGTCCGTAATGAAAGAGGTGCCAGAACACAAGCAATTTTTTTACATTGATTTAGGAAGCCTGAAGATGCCAAAGCTATGACTTACCAAGCCTAAAGGTGCCAAGACTCAGTCCTGGCAAGCCCCACAAATCAAGCACTGCATCTATCCAATACCTCTTGGACAGAAAGAGCTGCTACAGGTTGAGCCTCTCCAATCCAGCACTCTCTGGTCTGGCAACATTCATGGTCAGGCATGATTTTAATTAGCTGCATGTCCACTTATGATGGGTGTGGCCAAGTTTCCCACGGTCCCATAAAGTTTTTTATAACCACCAGTCCTGGCTCACAGAGCTCTGTGCTGTTAGTCAGCTCTAATTTACCCCTGAATGTCTTCTAAGAGCCCCATGAGCAGTGAAAGTGTTGGTAATGCTGCTGGTTCGGCAAATTCTCTGGTTCAGCACTGGTCAGGTCCTGAGGGTATGTCTACACTACAGCACTAATTTGAACTAACTTAATTCGAATTAGTTAATTTGAAATAAGCTAATTCGAATTATTGCATCTAGACCTAAAAACTAATTCAAATTAGCATTTTGCTAATTCGAAATAGCATGTCCACATTGAGTGGACCCTGAACTGAAGTTAAGGATGGCCGGAACCAGTGCCGGCAGGGCATCAGGTTAGGACTGAGAGTGTGGAGCTGCTGCCTCAGGCTAGCCAAGGGGTGTGCTTAAAGGGACCCAACCCCCACCCCAGACAGACAGTTCTAAGAGTTCCCCGCTTGCTTGTCTAACTCGATGAGGGACAGCAAAGCAGTCCTGTCTTGGAGTGCCCTGAGTGCCCACACTCAGCACATCACAGCACTAGGCCATCAGCCTGGCTGCACTTGCTGCAGGCTGCCCTCCCGGGGCGGGGGGGCCATCGTGGGGCTGGCA